TGGAGCCAGCTCCCCCATTGCAGCAGAGGGGAAAGCCTCTGCTCTCAGCTCACCCTTGTCCTCTCCCCCTGCCAAGACACCCTGCCCCCAGCCTGCTCGTGCCCCCTCCCCCTAACCAGACATCCTACCCCCAGCCTGCTCCTACACATTACCTCCTGCCGAGACCTAGCACCCTCAACCCCTCCTGCACCCCACCTCCTGCCCAGATCCTGACTCCACATCCGTATCCCACTAATTGGCAGCCCTGTCCCACACACTGAACCCCTCATTCTTTGGCTCCACTCCAGAGCCTATGAGGCCCACAAAGTCCACAGATCTTGGAAGCCCAGAAGAGTTAATCTGGCCTGAGGTTTTTGACTGGGCTGGAGCACCAGGGGAGTGAGGTGTTTCAGTTGGGGGCCACATCTGTGAGGGTTGTGGGTTTTTGGAGGGGCTTTTTTTACTTCTCACTTGTGTAGTCCGCAACCTGAAAAAGTTTCCCCGCCCCTGCCATAAATAAAGACAAGGTTGAAGCCTTTTTGCTGTGGTAATATTTTACTTTATTTAAAATGAAGTCTGGCCAACAGGGCCCCAGTTGGGGCCCAGCCTTCATCTGGCCTCACCATCCTGTACCCAGCCCTGATCGTGGGGCAGGTGCTGTGGTCCAGCCCCCCTCTGGCCACAGAAAGGGCTGGGAATGGCTCCTTCCTGCTGCAGCACGGGTAGGAGGAGAGGCCACGATCTGGCTGTGGTGGACAAAAGGGGGTTGGTGAATGTAGTGAGCAGCGGGCACAGCCCCCTAGTTAATGGAGATGAATATTTTAGCAGCAGCATATTGCAGGAGGCTGTTGTTTAAAAAAAAAAAATCCATCACTAGATTAAAGGGAGGTTGGCATGATTTCCCTGCATCTTGCAGACTTTGCTAAATCACCCCGGCCAGCAGTGATATATTACTGGGCCGTGTAAAAATTCTTCAGCAGCATCAGTTTTGTCTTCATAATGGGCCAGCATTAACAAATACTTGTAATCCCTTGGGAAGGATCCAGCGGAACTAGACCACCCTTCCACCTCTGCTGTTGACATAAGCTGAACACTGATACACTACCAATATACTCAAGATATCTTCCAGGCACACATTCCCAGCAAAGTGCAGTTTAAGACTATTTGGTGGTTCAGTAGTGTTGCTTCCCTAGGTTAGGAGAGAACATTTTTTTAAAATTGAAAGTGAATCTATGCTGCTTCAGGCCATTATCCTATCCCTCTGCAAACAGCTGCCCTACTTCTTCTGCTCAGATGCACAGGGGTTACCATGGTTCTTTGCCAAAATATCAAGAATAAAAAATGCATATTGTCAACCGAGTGATATTTTTTATTCTTTCATGCTGTTTATTACAAGTGAGCAAGTTACAAAGAAACTGACACATTCCTTCCTCCTCCTTCTCTCAGCAGCTGCCCCTTTCCCTTCTTTGCTGGCCTTTTGGTTTTCTTTTCAGCTTTGTTTTCTATGGATGTCTCCTTTCTGATATTGTGGCTCCAGTTCTGACAGAATTCTAAGTAGCCCTGGTAGGGTATATGTACACTGCATAGTAAACGTGGGTCTGTGTGTCCACACTTCACTATAAATCTGGGCTTACAGTTGCTGGACCGGACCTCAGTACCATACTGCACTACACAGATTTTCTGATGAGGGTGTGGGGCTTGAACCATTGTGTTCACACTGCAAAATTACAGGGTTTAGACTGGAGTCACAGAGGGCATTGGATGCTGACCCACCACCTCCTTAGAACCTGGATCCTTAAAGTAGGATGGCTAATGTAGGCATTTGAAGTAGCAAATGAAGCCCAGTATACCGGTAGTTCGAATTAGAGAACCTAATTCGAACTACCTACTCTGTGCCGTGTGTAGCCACTGGCACGGAGTCCGCACTAAGGGGGATTTAAAAATGGCAGCGCCCGGCAAGATGCAAATGAAGCCCGGGATATTTAAATCCCGGGCTTCATTTGCAACTTCGAATGCCTACATTAGCCACCCTAGTTCGAACGAGGGTGGCAGTGTAGACATACCCTCGGTGGGTTACAAAGTAGGGCAAGTGGTCCTGAAACTCTCCTAAAGTCACATAATGAATCAGATCTCCAATAGCCAAGGGGCCTTTCTGCTTCGTAATAGGCCATGCTGTTTAAATGTTGCATCGTAAGTTTTCCCCAAGCTGTGTGGCCCCATAGCTTGCCAGTAAGCCCCACGTAGGGGATCAGGGCTGCAGCAAGGGAGAAACGACTCTCCCCAAATCCGGAAGCTGCTGGGGATGCTGGGGGCTCCCCTACCCACCATCTCCAACATGGAGCTGCTATGGTCAGGAGAAAGAGGCCCCTCCTTGCTGTTCCTAGCAGGGACCCACCCTGGTAAGCCCGAGCCCCATTTCCATGCCCCACCTTGAGCTTCTTCAGCCCTGAGCATCCTCTTTTACCACAAAGCCTTCATCCCCAGCCCCACCCCAAAACTCATACCCTTAGCCCAGAGCCTGTACCCCTCCCACATCCCAAACCCCAGGTTAGAACCCTGACCCAGACCTGGAGTCCCACTCCTTCTTCTTCAGCCCTCACCTCCAACCTCCCCCCCAACCTCTGGCATTCCAACCCCTGCTCCAGCCCTGAGCCGCCTTCCAGACTCAGAACCCCACTTCCACCACATGAATTTTGTGATGTGCACTAATATGAAGGAGATGTGTCTCACAACATGTCCACATTGGTGCACATGAGAAAATTCATTCTGCTGGAAAAAAATAGAGGGACACTGATTGCAATCTATTTGCCAGAGCAAACCAGGCCTCACTAGGAAGGGAATGAGACAGATGGAAAGCTATATCACTCCTGTCCATACAACATCTCTTACCCATGATTTTGTAACTGGTGAATGGTATAATCCCCTTCACTTGTGTAGTCCAGAGTGTGTCAAATGGTGGCTTTCCTGCCATCACAGCTGAGTTAATATATCTTTCCTCACCATCCATGCTGTCTAGTAGTATTTATAATAGTACGTCCAGGGAAAACTGGGAGAGCTATCACATAATGCCTCCGCAGGAGATAAGAGCACCTGCAGGACAAACCCAATGCAATCAGCAGCACATGCAGCAGTGTACTCTGGAATGTACCAGCTGGGAAGAGAGGAAGACTGACCAAATTTATTACACAAAACTGGTTAGGATATTCTGTCCACACAGCAATGAAACTAAACATCCTGTACTGAACTGGTTCTAATAAGGCCCTAATGTCAGCCTAGGAATTGTCAGAGGAAAACTCTCTTGGCTCCTAACAGCTTTCACCATATTGGGTGTGACTAGGACTGTAAAATCCTGGTTAGCTAGTTAAATGGTTAGACGTTATGTTACGTTTAACCAGTTAACCTCTTAAAGGAGGGTGAGTGGATGGAGAGCACCTCCCACTAGGGATGTAAAATCCTTTTTAATTGGTTAACCATTAAACATACTGTTTAACTCAGGGCTACTCAACATGAGGATTGCAGTCTATTTGTTTGCAGCCTGCAGTGCAGTTTGGGCTCAACATGCAGCCTGCGGGTGGGAACCAAAACAAAAGAGTAGTCAATAGAATGGTCTTTTGTTGAGATGCGTTTTAGTAATTAAATATATGGACTGTCAATGCTCATTAAGAGTGTTGCAATATGGGTGGAAATTGGGTAACTGTTGCATTTTATTAATATCCGCAGAACTGACTTAAATAGGGCCTGCATGTTGTATAGTCTTGCCTTAAACTTTGTATTCATGCCCATCAGTGTGAAAGAAGCTATTTGCATATATTTGCATATATATGCAACCACACTTAAGTTGCAACCCAGGGCATGTGCTGTGAGTACCCTTGTGGCTCCCGGGGCTTCCAAAGTTGAGTAGCCCTGGTTTAACTGGCTAACTGATTAAAGGGGGTGGCTGGGAGAGCTGCTCCAGCCCTGCTGGGCTAGAGTGGCTCCCCCCTCCCCCCCCCCTGTCCACAATGGGTCCCCACATGGGCATGGAGCAGCTCTCTGCCTAGGAGGTGGGGAGCTGCTCCAGCCCCTACTGGTTAACCTTAACTGGTAAGCATCACCCTAAACCAGCCCCTGTGGCTGGGGTGGGGGAGCCAAGCTCCAGCCAGGCCAGGCTCACCATGGATGGGGGCTGTGCTGGCCGGGATGGAGTGCTCCTCCATGGCTGGGGACAGCTCCTACCCCCCCTGGTTAAGCATAACCAATAAGCATCACTCAGTAAAGGTTGACCATTCACATCCCTAAGTGTGACACAAACCATGTGTAGAACCAGCTGTGACACGTACTGTAAGTTTCTGCAAAACCCTTAAAACACCTTATTGAATTCAGTTTTACATACCTACGGGGCCATTTCAGTAAATGAATGGTGTATGTATTCTTGTGGGCCCAGATGATCAAATTGAACAATGTGCCAGACCGGAATGGATTTTTGGACCAACTTTGTCAAATAGTTTTCCTAGAAAATATCTAGAGAAGAGGGAGCAAACTAAGACCAGGGGCCATATCTGGCCCATCATACCCTTCAATTTGGCCTCTGAGCTCCCATTGAGGGGCATGGTTGGGATAGTTTTGCCAAGAGGGGCAAGCTCAATTTCTGGGTGGCATGGTGAGCATGGGCAGCTAGACCTGGGCCCTTCCCCTCCTGCTTCCCTCCTGCAGCCTCAGCTCCTCCAGCACCTGGGCAGTGCAGTTGCCATGCCACCAGCCCCATGTGTGGCTGATGCTGTGCCCAGATGGCACAATTGCAGAGTGTGGAGCAGGGTAGTGGTGGTCAGCGGGGTCGGGGACAGCAAAGATTGGATAGTGGGTGGGAGTTTTGGGTAGTGTTCAGGGGGTTGGGTGGAGGCAGGGGCCAGGTCATGTCTGGCTGTTTGGGGAGGCACAGCCTCTCCCTGTCTTCTGTATCTGGCTCTCCATACAATTTTCACACCTGATGTGGTCCTCAGGCTAAAAATCTAGGAGAAGGTGAATGGAAATTCCTACCATGAGTAATGTGTAAACCTTTCCTTTTGAAGCTTTGCTCTGAAGAGAGGACCATTGTCTACTGATTACCTTTTCCCAGAGTCTCAAGATCAAAGGCTCAGGCCAAAAGAAAAAATGAGCAATTCATTGGGGCATAGAGAGAAGAGCTAATTCTGAGTGAAAGCTGCTATGAACCACAGAAAAATCCTGTCATGTGTCTGAAGGACTGACTCCTACCTGATTCCCTGCTGGAGTTGAATGTAACTTCTGGTAAGCTTATTAGCATGACTGCAGGTTTTAGTATTGTTTTAGTATGAGTTCTTGGTAATGTTTTTCATTTTAAGAATAAGAAAGAGTTGGGTGGTAACTAATAATGATACGCAATTACGCAGTGTATAGGCTCTGAAGAGAAAAGCGAAGAGCAGACGTGGGCGTTTTAGGCAGTCTGGCTTGGTGGGAGTATTGCAGTGTAGTCAGGGAACACAAACCTGCATGCAATACAGGGAGTGTCAGGGGTCCCTGCCACAGAGAGGGGATGACTCAGAAGAAGAATCCTGGAGGGGTAATACAGGTGTAGTAGCTCTGAACTGTGACACCAACCAGAGTACAAACTAAGTGGTCACAAACTTAGTTCAAAGTTGTAGTGAGAAAAGGGCCTTAGAAGCCAGCAGCTCCCATGACTTCTGGTCAGCCTGACTAATTGCCTTTTTCACTCAATACCAACATCAAAGGAGCAAATTTTCTGCTCCTGGTTCAGATCCTGAGCCCTCGCTGATTGTCAGGATGATTAGAAAAAGCAGGAAGAAACCATTTTTGGAAGCTGAGAAAGGCAAACCTCTATTCTGAGAAGCTTCCTGGTCTTTCCACCATGACTGCCTCTGGAATCAATAACCAAAGCATTGTCTCCAGCTGACAAGTGCTGACCCACCATAGTTCTAGGGGTTACTCTGCTGGGATGCCTCTATCGCTCATCATAGTGTGTCAACCTTAATGTGTAAGCTCTTTGTGGCAGCAAAGAGCCTCTGCCCATAGGGCACCAATGCATCTTCACAACACACCGAATAAGTCAGTAACAGTGGGATGAGAAGAGGCGAAAATTGCTGAGTGGCTCAACGGAGAGAGAACAGGTAGGCCCAACTACTCCTAAAAATCTATATGCCTTAGGGTTGCCAGGTGTCCGGTTTTCTACAGGACAGTCCGGTATTTGCACCGTCTGTCCGGTAGAAAAAATCAGAAAATTTTCTGAATTCCCGTCTGGGTGCCGGACAGAAGCCTGGCGGATGAGAAGAGGCGAAAATTGCTGAGTGGCTCAACGGAGAGAGAACAGGTAGGCCCAACTACTCCTAAAAATCTATATGCCTTAGGGTTGCCAGGTGTCCGGTTTTCTACAGGACAGTCCGGTATTTGCACCGTCTGTCCGGTAGAAAAAATCAGAAAATTTTCTGAATTCCCGTCTGGGTGCCGGACAGAAGCCTGGCTGGGGCAGGGGAGCC